CTCGAGCAGCTCGGGAACCCCGGGGCGTCGTGGGTGAAGCTCGAGGTGCTCGCGGACAAGAAGACGCTGCTGCCCGACCCGGTCGGGACGCTCGAGGCGCTCAAGGAGCTGGTCGCGGATGGGTTCGACGTGCTCTGCTACACGAGCGACGACCCGGTGATGGCGCGCCACCTGAAAGAAGCTGGCGCGACGAGCGTGATGCCGGCGGGCTCGCCCATCGGCTCGGGCCAGGGCGTGCTCAACCCGAACAACCTCGCGATCATCCTCGAGACGCTCAAGGAAGACGACCCGTGCTACCCGGTCATCATCGACGCGGGCGTCGGGACGGCGAGTGATGTGACGATCGCGATGGAACTCGGCGCGGACGGGGTGCTGCTCAACACGGGCATCGCCCACGCGAAGGACCCGGTGATGATGGCGCACGCGATGCGTCACGCCTGCCGCGCCGGCCGCCAGGCGGCGCTGGGGGGGCGCATCCCGCGGAAGCTCTACGCGACGGCGAGCAGCCCGTGGGAGGGCGTTGTGTCGTACATCCCGGGCGAGTGAGCGACTCCGCTCAGCCGCGACGGCGGCGGCCCGTGACGAGCACGCCGGCGCCGAGCATCAGCGCGAGCGTCCCCGGCGCGGGGGTCTCGATCAGGCTGCCGTCGATCTCGAACGGGCCCGCGATCTCGGGCACGAGCGTGTCCTCGAGGGTGAGGCCGAAGTCCTGCAGCGCGTCGGCGACGGGGAGGAAGACGCCCAGGTTGCCGAAGCGGCTGAAGCCGATCCTGCCGGTGACGCCGATGGCGATGCCAGCGAGCTGGACGGTGCCGTCGGGCTGCTCGACGAAGACGCCGCCGCCGGAATCGCCGGAGGAGAAGATCGCCTCGCTCTCGAGCTTGTGGTTCCGGCGCTTGTCGAAGTCGAAGAAGCCGAAGCCCTCGTACAGGAAGTTGACGATGTTCTCGCCCCAGGCCTCGCCGCGGTCGTCGGACCACCGGTAGCCCTTGCCGTTCTTCCTGCCCTGGACCTTGCCGTGACCGCCGAAGACGACGCGGTCGCCGACCTCGAGCTCGTCGGTCACCTCGTGCCAGCCGGGGAGCGTGTCGTAGGTCTCGATCAGGGACAGGTCGAGCGAGGTGTGACGTGTCACGCTCTTGGCGAGGTAGCGCTCCTCGCCGAATGTCACGACGCTCCGGCGGACGCCGCCGACGTGGCCGGCGGTCAGGAGGAGGTTCTCACCGATCGCCACGGCCGAGCCACCCCGGAAGACGCCGACATATGAGTGCTCGGGCTTCTCGAGCTGGTCCCCGTGAATGATGACGCCCTGCGCGGTGGAAGCGAGCGCGAGTGCGGCGATGCCTGCGGCGGCGGGATAGCGCATGGTGATGCCTCTCTGGTGTGTTGTGCGAGTCCAGAAATCGCATCGGACACACGCGAGGGCGGGTCAAGGCCGAGCGTCGAGCGCCGGGGAAAAAAGTCGGGTTGTGCGGGCGAGGGCGCGTTCAGGCAGGGCGGAGTCCCCGATAAAACGCCTGGACCCTTTCGGCCTGCTGCTTCCGCGTCGTGTCCAGGACGTGCCTCGGGATCTTCCACATCGAGGCGTCCTCCGGCACGGCCGAGCAGTGCTCCTGGATGCAGTGGTAGACGAGCTTGAAGGCGTCGCGGGGCTGCTGCATCTGGTCGAGGGCGTCGATGAGGTCCTGCCTCGTGACGGACTCGTCGAAGAGGTCGAGGAGGCTCATGGGGCTCGTGCCGGCCTGTCGGCAGGCGTTGAGCCGTTCGGTGCAGAGGTCGTAGAGCATCGTGCCCGTCCAGGCGAGGCGCTCGACGAGGCTCTGCTTATCCAGACGCGCTTCCTGGAAGAAGGCGGAGGTCTCGCGGAGCAGCTCGTAGCGCAGCTCGAGCGGGAGCAGCAGCTTGAAGCCGATGGAGCTCTGCTGGAGGAATTTGTTGTTGAGCATGGGCCAGATGACGGCGCGCATGCGGTTCGCGTCGCCGTTGACGAGCGTGGGCTCGTCGATGCGGTCCATCACGACGAGCACGCCGGAGATCCCCGACGCGCGGAGGACGCGGACCAGCTTCTCGAGCATGAGGTACCGCGGCTCGTCGCTCCGGTTGATGGGCAGGGCGATCCGCTCGCGTGCCGCGGGCGGGAGCATGCTCAGGCACGCGGCGTACGACTCGGCGGGCCGTGGGTTGACCCGCACGTGGGCGCCGATCTGTCCGCCGAGGCGTTTCATGAAGAACGGGTCGACGACGAATCGTTTGAACAGGAAGGCGCCCCAGATCGCGAAGGCGATAGCGAAGAGGATCAACCAGGCGTCCCGTGTGAGCAGGCCCTCCTTGAGGGACGCCCAGAGCGCGATCACGCCCGCGGGAAGGATCCAGCCGAGGTACGCGAAGAGCGACCACTTCGCGCCCGCCCAGTTGCGCGAGCCGCCGATCTTGCGGCGGAGGTCGATGAAGCGACCCGGCGCGGACTCGACGCGCCCGTAGACCGCGTGCAGGAGCAGCGCGTCGTCGCGGACGGAGCGCTCGGCGTTGCGGAGGCGCTGCGCCGCGTCCGGCCCGACGGCCTGCGGCGACGCTTTGTCGCCGCCCGCCGGCTTCGTGAGCAGGCCGGTGACGAGCTGATCGGTGGCGATGGCGAGGATGGCGTCCATGTGGTCGACGAGCTCGATCTTCTCGAGCGACTTGAGCGCGTCGCGGTCCGGCGCGGTGGTCGCGCGGTCGGATTTCTTCGCCTTGCCCCGGCTCGCGAGGTGCTCGTGGAGGCCGTCGAGCATCGGGTTGAGGTCGTCGTAGGGCACGAACAGGACGCGCGCGCCGGGGTTCGCCTCGTTGTGCTCGGCGACGCGCTCGGCGATGTGCAGGCGGATCGCGGTCTTCCCCGAGCCCTTCTCGCCGAAGACGATGGAGGTGCTCGGGCGGCTCACCTCGCCCAGGATCTTCTCGAAGTCCGGGTGCGCGCTGGCGCCGACGCCGAGGCGGCTCAGCACGCCGTCGTGGCGCGCCTCTTCCGCGCGGAACGGGTTCTCGCTCAGCTGCCAGTGTTCGAGAAATTTGGCGATGTTCATGGGGTCCTTCCCTGAACGGGATAATTGGGATTCCGACCCGCCGGATTCAGTGGGCAACCGCCTCGCCGAGCATCGGGGTCACTTCGGCGAGCATCTTCTCCAGGATCTCCGGGCTCTTCGCTTCGAGGTTCAGGCGGAGGAGCGGCTCGGTGTTGGACTTGCGGATGTTGCACCACCAGCCCTCGGCGTCGAAGCAGTCCACCGTGATGCCGTCGAGCGTGTCGATCGTCCCGCGCCCTTCGTACTCGGCCTGGATGTCCTCGAGGGCGCCGTCCTTGTCCTCGACCTCGAAGTTCATCTCGCCGGACTGCGCGTAGCGGGCGATCGGCGCGATGAGCTCGCTCACCTTCCTGCCCTCCTTCGCGAGGGCGGTGAGTACGGAGGCCATCGCGATCGCGCCGGAGTCGGCGTTGAAGTTGTCCGCGAAGTAGAAGTGGCCCGAGAGCTCGCCACCGAAGGAGCCGCCGTGCTCGGCGAGCGCGGCCTTCATGAACACGTGCCCGACGCGCGACCGGATCGGCGTGCCGCCGGCTTCCTTGATCGCCTCTTCGAGCGCCTTGGAGGATCGCAGGTCGTAGACGATCGCGCTGCCCGGCTTCTTCGCGAGGAAGTGCGGCGCGAGCATCGCGGTGAGGTGGTCGCAGCCGACGATCTGGCCCTGCTCGTCGACGATGATCAGGCGATCCGCGTCGCCGTCGAAGCAGATGCCGAAGTCCGCCTGCTCCTCGACGACCTTCGCCTGCAGATCGACGAGGTTCGACGCGACGAGCGGGTTGGGCTCGTGGACGAACTCGCCCTTGTCGTTCTCGAAGTAGAGCGGGACGATCTCCAGGCCTTTCACGTCCGTGAAGACCTTGGGGACCATCGTGCCCGCCATGCCGTTTGAGGCGTCGATGACGACCTTCACGGATTTGCCGCCCATATCGAGGAACGAGTGCACGTGCTTGCGGTACGCGTCCCACAGGTCGCGCTGCTCGATGGCGGGGTCGCGCGACTCGGTCTTCTCCTCGTTCGCGACCGCGGCGTACTCGCGGATCTCGGAGAGACCCGTCGCCTCGCCGACCGGCTTGGCGAGGCGCTTGGAGATCTTGAATCCGTTGTACTGCGGCGGGTTGTGGCTCGCGGTCACCTGCACGCCGCCCGCGCAGTCCAGGCGGTTGATCGCGAAGTAGACGAACGGCGTGTCCACCTTGCCGACGTCAATCACGCTCGCGCCCGCGTCGTTCATGCCCCGGCACAGCGCGTCGCGCAGGCTCGGGGAGTGCGTCCGCATGTCGTGGCCGACGACGATGTTCCGCGCCATGGGCGAGGTCTCGCCCGACGCCTCGGCCTGCTCGATGAGGTACTGCGCCGCGCCGAAGCCGATCTTCCAGGCCATCGCCTCGTTGAGCGGGTCCGGGTAGGTCCCGCGGATGTCGTACGCCTTGAACACCTTGCCGAGCATGGATGGGGTCTCCCTCTCATAGAGCCTGAAGATCGCGGATTCTGCGCTGGAACAGGCCACAGGGTACCCCACCCGGGCCCGCCCTGTCTCGTCTCAGGCGACGCCGGAATCCGCGGATTCCAGGCGGACGCGGACACCCTCTGGGATCACGCCCATGAACTGCTTGCCGTAGGCCGAGCGGACGACGCGCGGGTCGAGCACGACGACGCGTCCCTCGTCCGACGCGCTGCGGATGAGGCGGCCGATGCCCTGCTTGAACTTGATGATGGCTCTCGGGAGGGACTCGTCGCGGAACGGGTTGCCGCCGCGCTCGCGGACGCGCTCGAGCCGCGCCTCGGTGAGGGGGCGGTCGGGCGGCTCGAAGGGCAGGCGGGTGATGATGACGTTCCGCAGGCTCCTGCCGCGGACGTCCACGCCCTGCCAGAACGAAGCGGTGCCGAAGAGGACGCCGTTGTCGCGCTCGCGGAAGGCTTCGAGGATGTTCGAGCGGCTGCCGTCGCGCCCCTGCATCCAGACGGGGTAGCCCTCCGCCTCGAGCTCGCCCTCGATCTTCCCGAGGACCGTGCGCATGGTGGCGTACGACGTGAACAGCGCGAACGCCCCGCCGCCCGTCGCGCTGACGTGGCGGTGCACCGCACGGCTCAGGTGATCGATATACGACGCGTCCCGCGGGTCGGGCATCGTGTCGTCGACGAAAACCTCCATCTGCTCGGCGTGGAGGAACGGGCTCCCGAGGACGAGCTCGTCGGGATCCGAGACGCCCAGACGCGATTTCGTGTGCTCGAACGCCCCGCCGCTGCCGCTCCCCCCCGTCGACGTCGTGAGCGTGGCGGAGGTCAGGACGACGGAATGCTCCCCGCCGAAGAGCCGCTCACTCAGGATCGGGCCGACGTCCACCGGCGCGCACGCGAGCGTCCCGCGGACGCCGTACGTGCCCTGCGCGACCTCGATCCAGTACGCGCACCCGGGCAGGCCCTGCTCGCAGAGGATCTCGGCCTCCTCGGCGATGGCCTTGGCGCGCTCGGCGTAGGCGTTGAGCTCGAACTTGTCCTCCTCCTGCGGGATGCCCTCGCGGAGGCGCGTGAGGGCCATGGCGAGGCGGCCGAATGTGTCGGTGAGCGGGTTGTCGATCGCCTCGTCGGGCCGGAGGCGGACGGAGCCCGCGCGGTTGCCGGCGCGGTGGACGAGCCGGTCGAAGAACACGGCGCTGGCGTCGCGGGCGTCGAGCGTCGCGCGGACGGCGCGGTCGAGGCGGTCCTGCTCGTCGCCCGGCACGCGCATGGATTCGAAGAATCCCTTCTTCGACCGCTCGCTGTAGAGCGAGCCGAGCAGGTGGTTCACTCGCCCCTCGGTGAGCGTGAGGCCGAAGTGCTCGCAGGCGACGTCCTCCACCGCGTGCGCCTCGTCGAGGACGACGTGGTCGTAGGGCGGGAGGAAGCCGACGCCGCGCGAGCGGAGGGCGAGGTCGGCGAAGAACAGGGCGTGGTTCGTCACGAGCAGCTCGGCACGCTCCATCCGGCGGCGGGCCTGCTGGTAGAAGCACACCTCGTACCGCGGGCACTTGCGGCCCATGCAGTTGCCGGAATCGCTCTGCACGCGGTCCCAGACCGCGGGGCGGGCGAGCTGGGGGAGCGTCGCGAGGGAGCCGTCCTCGGTTTCGTGCGCCCATTCGACGATCTCGTGGAGCGAGTCGAGCGAGGCGTGATCCCGGAAGAGCTTCTCGGCCTTCTTGGACGCGAGCTCGAGGCGGCGCACGGAGAGGTAGTTCCCGCGCCCCTTCACCAATTCGGCGCTGAACTCCTGACCGGTCGCCTCCTCGATCGCGGCGCGCAGGAAGGGCAGGTCCTTGTGGACGATCTGCTCCTGCAGCGCGATGGTGTTCGTCGCGACGACGACGCGCTCGCGGCGCTCGATGATGCGCAGGATCGCGGGGACGAGGTAGCCGAATGACTTGCCGACGCCGGTGCCCGCCTCGATGAGGGCGGTCGCGTCGCTCGACATGGCGCGCTCGACGGCGTCCGCCATCTCGAGCTGCTGGTCGCGCTGCTCGTAGCCTTCGCCGAAGGCCCGCGCGACGACGCCGCCGTTGGCGAGGATGTCCCGCGCCCGGGGGCTCATCGTTTCTCCGCGCCGGAGCTGCCGATCGGCGCCCGCTTGGGCTCGCCCGGCCGGCGCGGGTAGGGCCGGGGCGTCGTCTTCACCTTCTCGAGGATGACGACACGCCCTGTGGGCGTCTCGTGGGTGCCGGCGTGCGCGAGGCCCAGGGTCTTGAGCGCGAGCGCCGCCTCGTCGAGTTCCTCGGGCGCCTTCTCACCCTTGGTGAGCACGACGAGCCCGCCGACTTTCGCGAGCGGCGCGGTCAGCTCCGCCAGGACGTTGATCCGCCCCACCGCCCGAGCGGTGACGATGTCGTACCGCCCCCGGTGCGTGCGGAACTCCTGGCCGATGTCCTCCGCCCGCGCGTTCAGCACGCGGACGTTGCCCAGCTCGAGCATCTTCGCTGCGTGCATCAGGAAGCCCGCCTTCTTGCCCGTGGACTCGATGAGCGAGAAGTTCGACCCGGGCATCGCGATGGCGAGCGGGATCGCGGGGAGGCCCCCGCCGCTGCCGACGTCCGCGATCTTCAGGTCCTCGCCCAGCTCGCCCAGGACCGGGAGGAGGCTGAGGGAATCGAAGACGTGCTTCGACCAGGCTTCTTCCGGATCCTTGATGGACGTGAGGTTCACGACCGCGTTGGACGCGAGCATGAGGGAGAGGAAGTGCGCCAGCGCGTTGATCTCGCTCGGCTCCAGCGCGAGGCCGTACGCCTCGCACTGCTCGAGGAAGGTCGCGGGGGGCGTGAGGACCGGGTACTCGTGCGGGAAGACGAGGTCGGGACGATCGTTATTCGACGGCTGCTCCATCGCCGTCATCGTATTCGAACGACGGACGCCAGAGGTACGGCGGGCGTCGCATCGCCACATTCATGATCAATCCGACCATCATGAACCCCGCGAGGAGGCTCGATCCGCCCGCGCTGACGAACGGGAGCGTCATCCCGGTGATGGGCAGCAGGCCCAGGGTCATCCCGATGTTGATGAACGCCTGCGTCCCGACCATCGTCGCGAGGCCCACGACGAGGATCCGCCCGAAGGCGACCTTGCACGACGCCGCCACCATCAGCGCCCCGCCCACCCAGAGAACGTAGAGCAGGATCACCCCCACCGCCCCGACGAAGCCCCACCGGGCGACGATGACGGGGAAGATCATGTCGTTGTGGCGCTCGGGGAGGCGGGAAAAGTGGACGAAGGCCGCGGCCTTGGCGGGGGCGTGGCCGTTGAAGCCGCCGGCGCCGATGAGCGTTTTGGCTCGGCTCGACTGGAAATCTCGTCCCTGGGTGTCCGCCTCGATGCCCAGGTACGGGCCGACGACGGTCTGGATGCGCTCGACCTGGTGCTCGCGGAGGAGCGGGTACTCGCCCTGCTCGGCGGCGAGAAGCGAGATCGTGATGACCGTCACACCGAAGAGCCCGGCGAGGACCCCGGTGGTGACGAGGTGCCAGATCTTGGCGCCGGCGGCGATGAGCATCGCGACCAGCGCGGGGATGAACAGGAGGGACGTGCCCAGGTCGGGCTCGACGAGGATGAGCGACATGGGCACGAACGCGATGAAGGCGGGGATGAAGAGCCCGGTGTACTTCCGGTAGGTGGAGCGGTAGCGCAGGTAGCCGGCCATGATCGCGACGTACATCACCTTGGCGAGTTCGCTCGGCTGGACGTCCATCAGGCCCAGGTTGATCCACCGGCGCGCGCCGTTGCGGGGCGTGACGATGGACTCGGGCACGAAGGGCAGGAGCACGAACACGAGCGGGACGATCGTCGCGACCGCGAGGGGCCAGCGGAAGTACGCGAGCCACTTGTAGTGCGGGATCGCGAAGACGAGCGCCACAACAAGACCCATCCCCGCGATGATGAGCTGCTTCTTCGCGTAGTTGACCGAGACCGCGCCCATCTCGTTCGCGAGCTCGATGCTCGTCACGCCAACCGCGAGCAGGGCGAGCGTCGCGAAGAGGACGACCCACCCGGCGTGCTTGTGCGTGAGACGCTGGCGCGTCTGCGAGTGGCGCGCGTGCATCAGGTACCGGGGCGGCCTGGCGCCCGCCCCACCGGACCGCTCGGAGCTGGCGATCGTGGCGCTCACAGGTACCCCTCCGCGATGAGCGCCCGAACGATCTGGTTCGCGATCGGGCCCGAGACGCGCCCGCCCGAGCCTGCGTACTCCATGATGACCGAAACCGCGTACTTCGGGCGCATCCCTTCCGGCCCGACGAGGATGACGAACCACGAGTGGTCGCCCTCGCGCAGGATCGTCGAGACGCCCTCTTCGAGCTCGTCCGTGATGTCCGGCGCCTCGGCCGTGCCGGTCTTGCCGTAGAACGCGACGCCCTCGGCGGCGAAGATGCGCTCGGAGGTGCCGTCCGGGAATTCGAGCTTGTAGGCGCTGCCGAACTCGGCGCTGGAGACGGCCTCGTTGAGGCCCTTCAGCGCCTCGCTCACGGCGGCGGAGTCGACGCGGAGATCGTTCGCGACGGGCGAGTTGTCGCGGACGAGGCGCGGCTTGATGCGGAGGCCGCCTCGGGCGAGCGTCGCGTAGGCGTCGGCCGCGTGGACGGGCGTCCAGGCGACGGGGCCCTGCCCGATGCCCATGAGCGTGGCCTCGCCGATGCCCGCGCGGTTGCCGGCGAAATCGACGCCGGCGACGCCTTCGTACTCGAAGCCCACGCCCAGGTTGAAGGGCGAACCGACGCCCCACTTCTCGTACCACGCGATGAGCCGCTCCGGGCCCAGCTCGCGCGCGAGCGTGTAGAAGAAGATGTTGCACGAAACGGCGATCGCCTCGTGCGCCACGAGCGGGCGGCCGAAGGCGTGCGTGTGCGTCGTGTTGTACTGCTTGTAGATCCAGCAGCGGAGCATCGTCTTGTTGAACGGCAGGAGGTGGCCCGTGCACTCGATGGCCTCGGACAGCGCGTGTGTGCCTTCGGAGACGGCGCTGACGAGGATGAGCGGCTTGACGATCGAGCCTGGCGGGTAGGGCTTGGCGATCGCCTTGTTCACGCCGCGCTGCGTGACGGCGTCCTCCCAGACGCTCTCGGGCTCCTCGCGGATGCGGTCGAGGTCGAACGAGGGGGTGGAGACCATCGCGAGGATCTCGCCGGTTTCGATGTCGATCACCGTCGCGGCGCCGTACAGGGGCGTGCCGAGCTCGAGCTGGTGCTCGCGCCCGGCCGGGGTGTGCCAGAGCTGCACCTGCGCGAGGCCCACGCTCGGGTCCATGATCGCGGCGATGCGCGCCTGGAGCGCGGCGTCGATGGTGATCTCGACGTCCCGGCCCGGGAGCGGGAGCTCGAGGTCCTCCTTGCCCGTGTCCAGGTGGCGGACGACGCGCCCGCGCTGGCCGCGGAGGCGGTATTCCTGGGACTGCTCGATGCCCGTGCGCCCGATGCGGTCTCCGGGCTGGTAGTGGCCCGGGTCGATCTCCCCCGAGATCACGTTGTGCTTGGGACGCCGGTCGAGGTCTTCCGCGAAGACCTTGCGCATCCAGCCGACGATGTGCGTGAGCGGGCCTTCGACTTCCACCTCGATCGCCCGCGGCGCGTCGGTGCGGAGTGGCTTGGGGAGGGTCGCCGTCGGCACGCTCACATTCACGCGCTGGAAGGCGTACTCGCGCACGCCGCTCGGGAGGACGTGGAGCCCGGGGTAGCTCGAGGCCAAGCGGCGGATGGCCCGGGCGGTGGGCTCGTCGATGCCCTTGGCGATGGGGTGCGGCGAGTGCTCCTCGCGGATGGGGATGGTCACGTCCGCGAGGGAGAGGTCCACGCCGACGCGCCCCTGCTCGCGCTGCAGCTCCTCACGCATCGACTCGAGACGGCGCAGGTTTACGGAGGCGGCGGTCCGCTGGACGAACGCGAGGATGTCGGACCGGCGAGAGTCGATCACGTCCCGCTCAACATTCAGCGCTTCGGCGAGTTCGGACCAGAGGCGGTTGATGCCGTCGAGGTGCTCCTCCGCGATCGCTTCGATCTCGCGCTCGCGGGATTCGGGGGACATCGCGTCCCAGTCGTCCCCGAAGGCGCGGGCGGCCTCGCGTGAGGCGGTGTTGTACGCCCACTGGCCGCTCAGGACGGAGTAGTCCACGAGCACGTCGAAGCCCGGCGCGTCGCTCGCGAGGATGCGGCCCTTTCGGTCGAGGATCCGGCCCCGGACCGTGGGCGTCCACCGCTCCTCGACGAGCCGCTGCTCGGCGATCTCGAGGAACCCCGAGCCCTGCACGACGGTGAGGCGGTAGGTCTGGAGGGCGAGCATGACCGCGCCGGCGACGCCCGCGGCCCCCAGGAGGAGGAGCCGGCGGTGGAACATGCTCGGGATCAGCCTGCGGAGCATTCCGTTGCTTTCGCCGGGGGGTCGCGAGGTGGGCGCGCGGGAACATCCCGCGTGTTCCTATTGTATTTCGGCTATCGGACCGGGTTACGCCCGTTCTTCTCGCTTATCGCGGGTGATCTGGGCGTAGGCGTTGTGGTTGTGGATCGACTCGAAGTTCTCCGAGTTGATCGAGTACCACGAGATGCGGTCGTCGTCCTCGAGGCGGAGGGCCAGATCGCGGACGATGTCCTCCACGAATTTCGGGTTGTCGAACGCCTCCTCGGTGACGTATTTCTCGTCAGGACGCTTCAGGGCGGCGTAGACGGGGGCGGACGCGGCGGCCTCAAGGTGGGACACCAGGTCTTCGATCCAGAGGGTCTCGGTGAAGCGGACGGCGGCCTCGATCTCGCACCGCTGGTTGTGGGCGCCGTACTCGCTGATCTCCTTGGAGCACGGGCAGAGGCTCGTCGCGGGGGCCTTCACGCTCAGGATGAAATCGTCGAGCTTGTTCGTCTCGAGGATCATCGCGACTTCGTAATCCATCAGGCCCGGCGTTTTCGTGACGGGGGCCTGCTTCTCGATGAAGTACGGGAACCGCAGCTCCAGGTGGGCGTGGTCGGCGTTGAGCTTCTCGTTGATCGCCCGGGCCACGGCCGGGATATTCTTCGGCGTGAGCGGGTGCGCGACCTCGTTGAGGATCTCGAGGAAGCGGCTCATGTGCGTGCCCTTCTGGTGGTGCGGAAGGGAGACGTACATGTTCACCGTCGCCACCGTGGTCTGCTCGGCGCCGTCCCGGGTCGCGAGGGTGATCGGGTAGCGGATGCCGCGGACGCCGACCTTGTCGATGGCGATCTGGCGGTTGTCCTGCTTGGCCTGGACGTCGGGGATGGGCGCGACGCTCGAACTCATAACGGGAGTCTCCGGAGGAGCTTGAAGGGGCGGAAAAAGGCGTTGTCGGCTCAGGATTCGAACCCACGCGCCCGCGGATGCACCTGTGTAGAGTCATCTCGCGTCGATCGCGTTACCACGCGAGCGGCATTCTAGCCCTTCACGGCGCGTCGGGCGGGGGTTCGGCCGTCTTTCGGCTCGTGCTTCTGGACCATCGAATCCGCCCACGACGACCCGCCCCAGAGCCCCAGGCTCACGCCGGAGAGCCACGTGAGCGGCGTGATCAGGGCGTACCCCGCGATCGAGGCCTCGTACATGTCCGCCAGCGCGGTCGAGCCGTTCTGCAGCGCCCAGATCAGCGGCGCCCCGAACGCGAGGACCGACGCCCCGATCGCGATGCTCGCGAACGAGCACCTCGGCGAGATCACTCGGGCGATGAACGTCCCGAAGAGCCCCGCGGCGAACGATGCGAAGAGCGTCTGGCCGAAGCTGCCGTCGCGTCCGATCGCCCACCCGCACACCATCCCGACGAGGACGACCGCGAGGACCGCCCGGGCGTCGCCAAGGCTCGGGAGGGTGACTTTCTCATCCGCTTTGCGCCGGATCGCGGCGGTGAGCCACGCGAAGCCCGCGAACACCAGGCCCAGAACCAGCCCCTCGATCGCGAGCTTCATGAAGACGCCGTCTCCGCCCGACTCGCGGATGATCGCGGGGACCGTGCCCGTCCGGGCCGCGGCCCAGGCGAGGACGATCCCGCCCACGAAGTACGCCCGGCGGATGAACCCGAGCCACGCCCCGGCGACCATCACGACGCCCGCGAGGACCACGCAGGAGGCGAGCTTGAGCAGGCCCATGACGCCCGACGCGGAGACGAGGCCGGTCGCCTCGCTCGAGCCGTCGACACCCCGGATGGACGAGGCGATCAAGCCCGCGACCGGCCCGACGGCCAGCGCGCCGACGACCGTGTAGATCCACTGCATGGCGAGCGTCTTCATATGCGTGTGTCGTATCCGACCGGGGCCGTCTCGGCAAGCCCGCGTGCCCCCGCCGCGTCGCGCGGAAGCGATACACTGGCCGTCCCATGGCACACGAATCGCCCGAATCCGGCCACCGCACCCCGCTGCCCATCGACGGCGGTCCGCTCACCGTTGTCGACGTCGAGCAGGTCGCCCGTCAGGGCCGACGCGTCGAGCTGAGCCCGGCGGCGCTGGAGCGCATCAGCCAGTCCCGGAAGTTCCTCGAATCGACGATCGGGCACGGGCGGCCGATCTACGGCGTGAACACGGGCTTCGGCTCGTTCGCCACCAAGACGATCCCACCGAACAAGCTGGGAGAGGTGCAGAAGAACCTGATCCGCTCGCATTCCACGGGTGTGTCCGACGCGCTCCCGGTGGAGACGGTGCGGGCGATGCTCTTCATCCTCGCGGGCTCGCTCTCGCGGGGGCACTCGGGTGTGCGTCCCAAGCTCGTGCACGCGATCGTGGACCTGCTCAACGCGGGCATCACGCCGGTCGTCCCCTCCGTCGGCTCGGTGGGCGCCTCGGGCGACCTCGCGCCGCTCGCGCACGCGATGCTCGCGGTGCTCGGCGAGGGCGAGGTCATCGTCGGCGGCGAACGAACGGACGCCGCGAAGGCGCTCAAGAAGGCGAAGCTCGACGCGATGGACCTCACGGCGAAAGAGGGCCTCGCGCTGATCAACGGGACGCACCTGATGTGCGCGCAGGCGGCGCTGCTCATGGCGGACATCGAGCGGGTCTTCGACGCCGCGACGATCGCCGCGTGCATGAGCATCGAGGGCTGCCTGGCGACGGACGCGTTCCTCGACGCCCGCGTCTACCGGGCGCGGAACCACTCCGGCCCGGCCCGCGTCGCGGCCCGAATGCGCACGGCGCTGGCGGATTCCGGGATCACGAAGAGCCACTCGGTCGACGACCCGCGCGTGCAGGACCCCTACTCGCTCCGCTGCGTCGCCCCGGTGCTCGGCGCGGCGCTGGACGCGATCGAGAACTTCCGCCGCTCGCTCCTCCGGGAGCTCGGCGCCGTGACCGACAACCCCCTCGTCTTCCCCCCCGACGGGACGGACGTGCGGAACATCATCAGCGCCGGCAACTTCCACGGCATGCCCATCGCGCTGCCGCTCGACCAGGTCTGCATCGCGATCGCGCACGTCGCGGGCATCGCGGAGCGCCGGGTCTACCTCATGCTCTCGGGCAACGACACGTACACCGGCGTCCCGGCGCACCTGAGCCCCGAGCCCGGGCTCCAGTCCGGTCTGATGATCGCCCAGTACACCGCCGCGGCGTGCTGCAACGAGATCGCGACCCTCTGCACGCCGGCGTCCGTCACGAACATCCCGACGAGCGCGGGCGTGGAGGACTACAACTCCTACGGCCCCCGCTCCGCGGCCAAGGCGCGGCGGGCGATCGAGCTCGCGCGGTACGTCGTCGCGATCGAGATGCTCTGCGCGGCCGAGGCGATGGAGTACCACAGGCCTCTGAAATCGGGCGACGGCGTCGAGCGGGCGCACGCGCTGGTGCGGTCGGTGGTGCCCAAATTGAGCGAGGACCGCGCGACGGCGCACGACATCGACGCCATCGTCGCTCTCATCGACGAGGGGCGGTTTGGCTGAACCTTCACGCAGCCTGAGCGGATCTCAGCGGAATAAACGGGGAGAATGGGGCGTTGAGTCGGGTCCACACCCGCGCCCAACCCGCGTGACACACAAAGCACACACGATGCAAGCACACATCTTCGGAGATTCCCAATGAAAACCGCACCGTTCGCTCTCTCGGCGCTCGCCGTTTCTTCCGCCCTGATTCTTGCTGGGTGCTCCGGCTCCGGCTCGAGCGCCGCGTCCGCCTCGGCGTCGGCCGCGCCCGAGCGCGCCTCGATGGTCGGCCAGCGAATCGACGGCGGCCTGATGGTCCGCACCGAGACGGGGCGCGCGGTCACGCTCGAGTCGCTCTACGCGTCCCAGCCCGTGGTGCTCGAGTTCTACCGCGGGAGCTGGTGCCCCTACTGCATCCGCCAGCTCACCGAGTGGCAGAGCAGGACGGCCGAGCTCAACGAGGCGGGCGGCAAGCTCGTCGCGGTCTCGCTCGAGAAGCTCGAGGGCGTGAAGGAGACCGTCGAGAAGACCAACGCCGAGTACCTCGTGGTCTCGGATTACACGGGGCGCGTGTCCGACGCGTTCGATCTCACCTTCGATCTCTCCGACGGCACCGTGACGCGCTACAAGGGCTTCGGCCTCGATCTCGAGGCGTCGAACGAGTCGGGCGAGTGGGAGCTCCCCCGCCCCGGCACGTACGTGATCGACACCGACGGCGTGGTGCGCTACGAGTTCCGCATCGACGACCAGACCGATTACCAGTCCCGCTCGGACCCGAACGAGGCCATCGCGGTCGTGAGCACCCTCAACGGCGGCTGATCCGAGCGACGAGCCACGCCGAGACCCGCGGAGACGCGGGTTTTTTCGTGCGCTGACCGATCCGCCTGATCGCTCTACAATCGTCTCGAACCATGGAGGATTCCCCGATGAGTACGACCGCCGCCCGCGAAATCCGTGCGCCCCGCGGAACGGAGAAGACGTGCGCCACCTGGCAGGCCGAGGCCGCCATGCGCATGCTCATGAACAACCTCGACCCGCAGGTCGCCGAGCGGCCCGAGGACCTGGTCGTCTACGGCGGCCGGGGCAAGGCGGCGCGGTCGTGGGAGGCGTTCGACGCGATCGTCGCGACGCTCAAGCGGATGAAGGCGGACGAGACGCTCCTCGTGCAGTCCGGCAAGCCCGTCGGCGTGGTGACCACGCACGAGGACGCCCCGCGCGTGCTCATCGCGAATTCCAACCTCGTCCCCCACTGGGCCAC